GGCTGAGGCTGCCGTGCCACCTCGCTGTGCTCCCTGAAAGCCGGGCGGAGCAACCAGGGAACAATGCTGAGGGGTGGTTTTTGCTGGAGTCAGTCCTCTCAGCTGTGTGGGACTCGCCCTCTGCTCCCTTGTGTACCAATGCTTCACCCAAGTCCTCAGGCAGTGGCTTCTTTCAGTTACTTGTGGGCTCTGCCCTCCATGCTCCGATGCCAGTGCATAGGAGTGAGGCCAGATGGAAAAAAACCCGAAAAACCCGCTAGGACATGTTCTGAGCTGCCTCCACTCCACCCGCACTGACGGGCCGGATCCACGCTGGTTCCGGGCCTCATTAGGATACTGGCTCTTCCCCAAGAGGCTCCTAGCTCTCCCAGCCACAGGCGGTCTGCCCCACCGGCGCCCCCGCCACAGACCACAAATGACAGGAGGGGACAGGACAGCGCACACAGGGCACTCCTAGTTCATTGTTCCACACCGCAGCTTCCATCCATTTGGTGGAAACTATGAGTAAATCTGTCCATTAGGAGGAGGGTCATGCAGAGAGTTGCTGAATGATAACTTCTTCCCCCGGGGAGAGAGAGGAAAGGGAGGAGGGGGAGGAGAGGAGTCCCTGTTATTAGAAGAAACCATAGTCGTGTCCATTGCTGGGAACAAATTTCAGTGGCCATGGCACAGACTTACAAATTCCTCCAAAATCAGCCCTAGGGAACTGGCCTGGGGTGGCCGGGTGGAGAGAAGGGGAATTCTAATGTTATGCCAAGATCCTTTCCTGTCTCAACAGGTGCGTGTTATTCTCCCAGGGAAGGCAGCACCTCCCAACAGGGAGCGTTCACCCACCATGTACTCTGGGTCTGCCCGCTATTCCCCTGGCAGGATTCATTTTTTTAAAAAGAGGCCACTTTCTTAGCAAAGCTGCTGAACGGCCCTGAAAAGCACAGTAGAGGCTTGGGACTCAGAAATGACAGGAACTCCTCTCGAGATCCGCATGTCAGGCCATATGTATGCAAATTTCCCTCTGGCTGTTCCTTCTCACATGTTTGCCTTCTCCTAGTAGTCCTCCCAGGCCTGGCCCATCCCCCAGAGTCCCGTTCCCTTCAAGCCCTGTGCTCCTCTCACCTTGTTGCTTTTTCTGGACCCCCTTCAGTTGGCAGGGAATGAATGCCTGGCTGGCCTCCCACCTGCACCTCCAGCTGAGGGGAACCCACTCTCTGTAGGTTTCTGAAAACTGCCAGGTTGTGTTCATGATATTTCACAGAAAGCCTGTCTGAAATGTAGATAGTCAATGCATTGCAAAGAAGGGGTGGCACGCAGAATGGTAGCTCTACTCTTAATTTTTTGAGGAGTCTCCTTACTGTTTTCTTTAAATATATACTAGAGGCCCGATGCACAAAAGTGCAAGTGTAGGCCTTCCTTCCCCTGCTGCCAGCTCCGGCTTCCCTCTGGCACCCGGGACCCAGGCTTCCCTTGAAGCCCCGGCTTCATCCAGAAGGTCGTCCAGAAGGACGTCCAGCCTAATTAGCATATTATGCTTTTATTATATATATATAATTGATTTCAGAGAGGAAGAGCGAGGGAGAGAGATAGAAACATCAATGATGAGAGAGAATCATTGATCGGCTGCCTCCTGCACACCCCACACTGGGGATTGAGCCCACAACCCGGGCATGTTCCCTGACCTGGAATTGAACCATGATCTCCTGGTTCATAAGTCTACACTCAACCACTGAACCAAGCTGGCCAGGCCATACTGGTTTCCATAGTGGCTGCACTAACTTAATTTCCCACCAGCAGTGTCTGAGGTTCCCTTTCTTGCACACCCTCTCCAACACTTGTTATTTCTTATATTTTTTTATAATGGCCATTCTAACAGGTGGGTCCCAGAAGGGAAAGTGGGGAGGGGAGGGAGCAGTGGGTAATGGGGGTCAAATATATGCTAATGGAAGGAAATTAGACTTCAGGTAGTGAGCACACCATAGAGTACACAGATGTCATATTATAATGTTGTACACCTGAATATTCTATAATGCTATTAACCAATGTTACCCAATTTGAAATTTAATTTTTCAAAATGGGAGGCAGCACAGAGGAGTGGCGTGCACAGCTAGCTTTGGTGCTGTGGCAGTGAAAGCAACTTTACTTGCTTGGGGAAAATTTGACTCGAAAGAAATGCGAGATGAAACCGTTGTTTCCTTTCATATTTTTTAAATTGGTGAGAAGCTCTAGAAGAGGACTAGGGAGTAGGGCTGATCGGGTGTGACCAGAACACAGACTCCCAGGGATTTCCCTGCTTTTTAACTCAGTCCAGGAAGCCAGGCATCTTCTCGTTGCTGCAGAAACTCAGAAACACTAAAACAGCAAAGATGAAAACGATGTGGTCCCTGTCCTCCAGGAGTTTATAAGCAAATGAAACAACCAGGCATGTAAATATGGACATACAATGATCTGTGTTTATTACATAATATGGCCAAAATGTGCTACCCCTGGGTTCCTGAGACCCCACTGGGGGTCTAAAAGATCAAAACTATTTTCATAATCATACTAAGAGATTATAGGACTTTTTTCCCCACACATGCACATTTCTTTGTGATCCTCAATAGTTGTTAAGCTTGTAAAGGGATCCTGAGACTAAACATTTTAAGAACTGCTAAGAATATATACCATTATGCATTGTCCTCATTTCTCATTAATGCACTTTACTGACTAAAAATTATTTCATCTAATTCCATGAATGTTACTTTGTTAGGTGCTTTCTCTGTCCTTGTTTTCTGGCTTGATAGCTATTAGGTCATCAAGTTATTCATCTGTGTGTGAGTTAACGTCTGTGTTTATTTGTCTTTTGAGGCAGCACAAGGTTGGAATTTATTTTTTAATTCAGCCAACAATCAACTATAGTCAATGCATTAGTTTTACATTCTATCGCCCTGCTGTTTATCCTACTCATTGTTATTTTTTATGTCTTTAAATTATCTTTTCAGTAGTGAATTTTAATTTTTTTATTTTTTTGTCAGACAATAAACTTTCCTAGTCTGTCCATCTTTCCATCCTTTCAGCATCATCATATTTTCAAGCAATTGTTTCTTCCTATAATTTTATTATTAATAGTACAGTATTAAGAAAATAAACTTAAATTTCCTTTGCTGTAGAGATGAAAATGGATCTAGTCTGTAACATACCTTGGTAGCATAAAGTCAGTTATAAAATTATGCATATAACTCTTACAGTTCTGACAGTAGGTAATATAATTTTCTACTTGAATTTTCCTTTTTATTTTTTTCTATTTTGTCCTCCATGGACCTTGAGCTCTATCTAGCCCTTAACTATTCTCAAATTTTCATTGTTTTCTGGAAGTAAACTTTACAGCTGTGGGTCTCTGTTGACAAATTATTTCATCTCCTTTGGGTCTTCAATTCTTTTCCCTTACTCTGAAGTGAAAGTTCAGGGAGTGTTTCCAGATCCTGTACTTGGTGTCATAACTCGATTTGTCTTAATATTGTGAGAATCCCCCAACCCCTACCCTAAACCCATATTCCTTGTCCAAAGCCCCATACCTGTTCTTACCGTCACATGTAAATGGTTTTCTCAGTTCTATTGGTAACTTTGCAGAATTCCGGATTTCCTCTGTGATGGGGTCATTTTTATGGTTTGGTTAGTTGGTTTTAAGTTGAAAAACTTAACAATAATATATCTTCAATTCATTCTTTAAGAATTGCTCCTTAATGAATTCTTACTATAGACATACCAGCGTGGTTATTGCTATAATTCTACGATAAATTCTAAATTACTAAGGGTTTCTCCTCTATGGTCCTTGTATTGTTCCAGATCAGTTTTTAGCTGGATGTGGGATTTTCAGGCCAGTGTTGCCTCGAAGGTGCTCGCTGCTTGTTCTCCTGCACCGGGCCTTCTCTTGCAGCAACTTCTCCATGGTTCTCGTTCCTCAATAGCATTTATAAGACCCAGTTTAATAGCTTTGTACCATTTTTTTGTTTATGGCACTCATTATTCCTTCTTTATTTGCTATTAAAGTCTTAAGTGTACATTCCGTTGTACTTTCCTGAGAGCTGTTTGTTGTTCTTGTTAATCCTCACCCAAGGATATTTTCCCATTGGTTTTTTTTGTTTGTTTGTTTTTGGGTTTTGGTGGGGGTTTTTTTGTGTGTTTTTTTAGAGAGAGAGAATGGAGGGAGAGAGAGAGAGAGAGAGAGAGAAACATTGATGTGAGAGAGACACATGGATTGGTTGCCTCCCACACAGGGATCAAGCCTGCAACTGAGGTAGTGCCCTGGACCGGAATCAAGCCCAGGACCCTTCAAGTCCATGGGCCAATGCTCTATCCACTGAGCCAAATCGGCCAGAGCTTTCCTGAGAGTCTTGCCATCTGGGTTCTGGCTGGCTTGCATTCCCTTTTGATGTTGTAATACATGGTCACTGAACTTGTGTGAGGTTTATCGGGCTTGTTTATTTTCCAAGAACATATTTTGCACATATTTTCTTAAGAAGCTTATTTTTCTGTATTGGGCTATTATTTTTAATAGCTTCTGACTAGGAGGTGGGACTGAGAGTGAGATTTGACTTGAACTTGGCTCTCTTGGCTATTACTCACATTTCCCCGGAAGCCGCACACATATAAACATGCTCCGAAACGGGGGTTTGCCATGCACTTGTGTAAGGTCGTCGATTGCTAGTGTAAATGGTGTTCAGAGGAAGATGGACTCAGGGCAGTGATGCTGGGAATCCAGTCCTGTACAGTCATGAACTTGGCGATCTGTAAAGTCTCTTCTTGCTCAATGCATTGGAATAAATATCGTTCATTGTGAAATCTACCATGCAGGCTGCCAAGATAAGTGCGATCTCACCCATAGCCAATCGCGCTGCTCTGACAGGGAAATTGGCTAGCGCTGTCTGAGACTACTCCAGCCTCCCCGGGCCTGATGTCACAATTCAGAGGCTGCTGCCTGCCTGGAAGGCTGTAAAAAGTTGTGTAGATTCTCTCTGTGTGTCCTACAGGGCTCCTCGTGCCAGATCCCTGTCCGATGGCTTGTATGAAAAACTATCTCCTACCCATTCTGGGGATCTTCTTGGCCTACTACTACTATTCCGCGGATGAGGAATTCAAACCAGGTAAGTCCCAGTGTGTCTAATTTTGAAGAGATAGATAAAAAACAAACAAACGGGTAGCTGCAGTGCCGGAGGATCATGATGATTTCCTGACCTCCAAAGTTGTAGAACGACAAGGAACCCTGAGGTGGGAGAGGATTTCTGTGTCCTCCAGCCACAAGGGATGGGTAACAGGAGTGTGGGGAAGGGAAATCACATAGCCAAGAGCAAATGGTCTGTGTGGCACTTGGCCCCCTTAATGAAAAGCAATTTCAGATCTCCTACAAAAATAAGGGTAACTCCAAAATTCACAGCTCAGCCAGATATTGGAGCTTCGTGGAAGGACTGATAAGTGGGAGGCAGGAAAGTAGTCTGGAGTTGATGACTAACTAGAAGTGAGGGAAAATCCCTGGGATCTCTGTTTTGATTACTTTTTGCATTTTTTTTTCAATTGAGCAAAACTGGCTGAGTCCAGAAACACCTGGAACTCTAGTGTTCCAGCTGAAACTTCTGTCCACGGCGGGTTGTTTTGTCTTGTTGTTGATTTTTAGGAGAAACAGTAGGTAGACTTGGTTCTGAGCAACCAAGCCAAACCACCATTTCAGAGCATATTTATGAAAGACTTGAACTTTCCCCCACTGATGTATGCAAATAAGTTGATCTGGACGCATAACCGTGAGGCATTGAGATATGGCTGCCCATGTCCAGAGCAGGAGGAAAAATGTTGCTGCCAAGTTGGGTTTACTCCTCACTTCCTTTTGGGGTTTCCCAGAGATGCTCCAAGGAAAGAAAGTGATTGTCACAGGGGCCAGCAAGGGGATTGGAAAAGAGATGGCCTATCATCTGGCGAAGATGGGAGCCCACGTGATGGTGACAGCGAGGTCAGAAGAAGCTCTAAAGAAGGTGAGGGTGCCCTAGCTGATTTGGCTCAATGGATAGAGCGTCGGCCTGTGGACTGAGGGGTCCTGGGTTCGATTCCGGCCAAGAGCACATGCCTGGGTTTCGGGCTCAATCCCCAGTGGGGGGCATGCAGGAGGCAGCCAATCAATGATTCTCTCTCATCATTGATGTTTCTCTCTCCCCCTCTCCTTTCCTCTCTAAAATCAATAAAATATATTTTTTTAAAAAGAAGGTGAGGGTTCTGTGCCTGCAAACACATGCATGCTCACATGCCCAGATGTATTTTTATATATACTTACATATACATGCCAACGTAAAGAGACTGGCACATCCATACACAGATGCATACACACACATGCGCAGGCACACACACATGCAGGCTCAAACACCCATAATAATATGAAAATACGCATTTCAGTGTTCATTCCCATACATATATAGAGAGAGAGAGACAAAGTTCTTGGGTTATATAGACTCATAGACATGCCTCTGCACACGCAGTTATACACAAAGTCACAGATATGTAAATATGTACTCAGGTATCAAAATTCCAGTATCTACACATGAATTAATATTCTTGTACCCATGCAAACTTTCACACACATGCCCTCTTCTATGCTCAGACTCACAAACCCAAGGATATAAAACATTCACAAACCTAGGGCTACCCACATGGAAACTAGTATCATTCAAAAACATGTATTCACAGAGACTCACATACACAAATCATGGACTTGAACCCAAGCACAGTGATGACTTACCCATTTACACCCTACCTGAAATACTTCCAGAAAAGTATTTCATACCGAGGACAAAGATTATGTCGGGTTGCATTTAGCAACACACACACACACACACACACACACACGTTCACTAAATTCACGTTCATGCACATAAACCCGCTAACATTTCTTATCAAACCAGTGCTGTGAACAACTTCTCATCTAAATCCCCATTACCTCAGAGACTGTCCCCAAAGGTCTGTAGCCAATACTGTAACAGTAGGACTTGTACCCCAGCCCGCCATTCTTTTGACATTGTGTCTGTAAAGCTGACTCTGACTAAGATGTAACTTATAGATAAACAGCATGTTTGTATGAGAATCCTAGGAACTAACTTCAGAAGATACAGACTCCAGCCTTCAGTCAACCCGGTTCCAGGAGATTTGCTAACCTTCAACCATAGAACCAAGATGACAAGAAAAAAGCGAGATGACACCATCACTTGACCAGTTTTAAGATCCTTATCAGAATAGACTGTGCTGGACTGCACACAGAGAACTCTTCAACCCCTTGCCCTTGACTTCTTTGTTCTGCTTTGCCTCTCCCTCCTTATAAAAATCTCTGCTTGGCCCGCCAGATGGCTGGCTCAGTAGCTGAGCATTGACCTATGAACCAGGAGGTCATGGTTTGATTCCTGGTCAGGGAACATGCCTGGGTTGGGGTTGTGGGCCCGATTTCTAGTGGGACATGTTGTGTAGAGGCCGATGGATGATTCTCTCTCATCATTGATGTTTCTATCTCTCCCTCAGTCTTCCTCTCTGAAATCAATAAAGATACATTTTTTTAAAAACACCTCTGCCTGTACTGAGATGATGGGCTTTATGACAAGAGTCCCCCATCTCCTCAGGTGACCAGCACTTGAATAACATCTCTTTCCTTTTTCACCAGCATCATGTCTCATGAGTTTGGTTTTTGTGTTGGCAAGCTGTCAAACTTAGAATCCGGTTACAATACTGAAACCAAGGTCACTGTGTCCCTGCAGATAGTATCCGACTGCTTGAAGTATGGCGCAGCCTCAGCACACTACATTGCTGGCACCATGGAGGACATGACCTTCGCAGAGCAATTTATTGCCAAAGCTGGAAAGATCTTGGGTGAGGCTGCTTCTCTTCTCTCCTCCTCTGGACTTCCTCTATCGTCTTTGCTCCTTGGGACTTGGCTCGGGGAGCGTAGGAACGGGAAAGGGGGAGGGGGAAAGAAAAGGTATCCACCCCAGATAGTTTCTCTCAACACAGTCATTTCTTGCAGGAGGACTAGACATGCTCATTCTCAATCACATCACCAGCGCTACTATGGAACCATTTGCTGGTGATATCCACTTCGTGCGCAGAAGTATGGAGGTCAACTACATCAGTTATGTGGTCATGAGTATGGCTGCCCTCCCCATGCTGAAGCAGAGCAATGGAAGCATTGTCGTTGTCTCCTCCATGGCTGGTGAGTGGGGCAGGGGCCGCTGTAGAAGGTAGGAGCAGGAGATGTGCCAGGGAGGATGTTGGGGGCTCTGTAGTAAACATGAATTTTTTTTACCAGTTTTCATGCACAGAAATAACACAATATAAACTGGAAGTTGAAATGCTCACAGTGATATTAAGCAAAAGCCAATTGTCAATTTTCCCATGTGCGTGGGCAGGCAGATATGTAAATGAGAGACGTGGACATGCACATTCAATGAGGAGCGCGCCTGCTGAGTAAGAGAGATGCCATTGAGAACAACAGGGGCAATCCAAAACGAGGGATCACTCAAGGTAGATGGGCTACAAGTTCCCTGGAAGGAACGGAGAAAGACCAGCAGTTCAGAGTGCCTACCAGAAGCCTGATGGCTTATGATCTACAAATGGAGGTCCAATGGGACATCGAGAAACTGCTAGAGGTACCGCCTGTCCTGATACTAAGAGAGAGGCCTGGTCATGATGGGTAAAAAGGACTTTGCTTCTTTCATCTACAAGAGATGTAGGTAGGTGAGGTTAGTTGAAGCAAAGGTAGAACTGAAAAGTGAAATATTTTAACAACATACGGTTGCCTAATCAGTGGGTTAAGCTAAGGCGAAATGAAATAAACAGAAACAAACACACCATATTATTCACAGACCTGCCTATAGTGGGGTATACTCCAAATCTGAACTTGCTACACTAAAAGTCCAATCTGAACCACCAACGGGGTAGGGAGAGAGTGTGTACAGAGGAAGAGAACTCTGTGTGATCAAGAGAAGTCCCTGATGTTCTGGATGGTGGCAGCATCAGAAGTTGTCACCAGTAAAAAGCGCGGGGGATGCCTTGGTGCATTTCATCACAGGTCCCAGAGAAAATTTTTTGGTTGGTTGTTTTGATTTGTTGATTAGTCCGTTAGAAGGATGTGGCTGGAAGGTGCGAACACCACCATCAACGTCAGCCATCTCAATTTCATTCCTGGCAATGTGAAACCAACAGCCTTTGTAAGTTCTTACGTACTGTACAAATGTTAGTTATTGCTGTGACTAAAAATGCCATCGATGTTGTAAAGAGCTCTACTTCCTGGGCGGGAGACGCTTGCATGGTGGTGGGATAAAAGGGCAATGTGTCTGCACTACCCACCAAACAGTGATTGATACGCATTCCTGCGCCTCCCGGGCAGCACAGACGCCCCACCCTCCCCAGTCACAGCCTCCCTCTGGGCTGAAAGGAAGGGAGAGCTTCCAGATGCATACTGAGTGGGAAGAGTGCTGGGCACATCCCCAGTTCACCCTAGGGCACTGGCCAAAACCCTCATATCAGTCCTGCTTTAAGGATTTCAGTTGATTAAATGATACACTTACTGATGCAAAGACATGCATCATCTTTGACTGGAAATTTTAACTTTCTATAACATATACACAGTGTGACTGTTCCCGAAAGGAACAAGAATTACTGTAGAAGTGCAAGGGCGTGGTGAAATTTTGATAACCTCTGCTTCCACACCTTCTACACCTACTAAATATCACTTTGTAATTCTGTGAAATCTTGGATGGAAATCTAGTTGGACTACTATCCTTCAAGTCTATTGGTTCTATAGCCAAAAGAATTCAGCCTGTTTGCTTAAAGCATGTCTTTGAACTGCCAAAGTACTGACAACTTTGCTTTCTCTCCCTAACTGAAGAATGTCTCTGTTCTATGCTATATTCTTTTAAATAGTCAACATCAATGTTCATTAATCCTTCCTCTTTAAAATCTGAATTCCACAAACATGGGGTGCTAAGTCTCAAAATGGGGTCAGCCAAGGAGTATTGGACTGGGTTTTTAATCATTCCTTCCAGGGGCTAGATTAAGTTGTTTATGGAATTATAGTGATAAGCAATCATTTTTGTCCCCAATGCATGTCTAGGCATTGCATAACATTGAAATCTTATCCCTGATGTACATGAATTCTAAAATCTTCAACAAAATATTCGTAAACCAGATCCAGCAATACATTAAAAAGATCATACTCCATGATCAAGTGGGCTTTATTCTGGGTATGCAAGGTTGATGCAATACCTGCAAATCAATAAACGTGATACATCACATAAACAAATTAAAAGATAAAAATCATATGATCAGATCAATAGATGCTGAAAAAGCATTTGATAAAATCCAGCACCCATTTATGATTTAAAAAAAAACCTCTCAACAAAATAAGAATAGAGGGAACATATCTCAACATAACAAAAGCCATATATGACAAACCTACAGCCAACATACTCAATGGGCAAAAACTACAAGCGTTTCCCTTAAGATCAGGAACAAGACAAAGATGTCTGCTTTTACCACTCTTATTTAACATAGTACTGGAAGTCCTAGCCACAGAAATCAGACAAGAAGAAGAAATAAAAGGCATCCAAATTTGAAAGAAAGAGGCAAAATTGTCTTATTTGAAGAAACTGTATATAAAGTAACTTAAAGATTCCACACCAAAAAAAAAAACAACTTTTAAAACTGGTAAATAAAAAAACAAACAAACGAAAAAACTGGTAAATAAATTCAGTAAAATTGCAGGGTACAAAATAAAACCCAAAAATCGGTTGCATTTTTATACACCAATAATGCATTATCAGAAAGGAAACTAAGAAAACAATCCCGGTAAAATTGTCATTATTTGAAGAAACTGTATATAAAGTAACTTAAAGATTCCACACCCCAAAAAAAAACCTTTTAAAGCTGGTAACTTTAAATTCAGTAAATAAATTCAGTAAAATTGCAGGATACAAAATAAAACCCAAAAATCGGTTGCATTTTTATACACCAATAATGCATTATCAGAAAGGAAACTAAGAAAACAATCCCACTTATAATTACATCAAAAAATAAATAAAATAAGATACCTTGGAATAAATTTAACCAAGAATATAAAAGATCTGTACTCAGAAAATTGTAAGACACTGAAGAAAGAAACTGAAGAAAATATAAATAAGTTGAAGCATATACATTGTTCATGAATAGGAAGAATTAACATCATTAAAATGCCTGTACTACCCAAAGCAATCTATAGATTTGATGCAATTTTATCAGAAAGGAAACTAAGAAAACAATCCCACTTATAATTACATCAAAAAATAAATAAAATAAGATACCTTGGAATAAATTTAACCAAGAATATAAAAGATCTATACGCAGAAAATTGTAAGACACTGGAGAAAGAAACTGAAGAAAACACAACTAAGTTGAAGCGTGTACATTGTTCATGAATAGGAAGAATCAACATCATTAAAATGTCTGTACTACCCAAAGCAATCTATAGATTTGATGCAATTCTTATCAAGATACCAATGGTGCATTTCAAAGAACTAGAACAAATATTCCAAAAATTTATATGGAATTACAAAAGGCCTCAAATAGCCACAGCAATCTTGAGAAAGAAGAACAAAGCAGGAGGAATCACACCACCTGATATCAAACTATACTACAAGGCCATAGTAATCAAAACAGCATGATCCTGGCATAAAAACAAACATATAGATAAAGAAACAGAATAAAGAGCCCAGAAAGAAACCCACACTGTTATGGCCAATTAATACTTGACAACGGAGGCAAAAATATACAATGGGGTAAAGATAATGTATTCAGTAAGTGGTATTGGGGGAAATTAGAAAGAATTGTGCAAAAAAAATGAAACTAGACCACAAGGATAAACTCAAAATGAATTAAAACCCTTAAATGTCAAACTAAAAAGCTTTTGCACAGCAAAGGAAACCATCAACAAAATGAAAAGACAACCCACTGAATGGGAGAACATATTTGCCAATGATATCTGATGAGAGGTTAATATCCAAAATTTATAAAGAACTGATATAGCTCAACACCAAAAATACAATCCAGTTAAAAAAAAAAAGACCTGAATAGACACTTCTTCAAAGAAGACATACAAGTGGCTAATAGACATATGAAAAGATGTTCAACATCACTAATCATCAAAGAAATGCTTCAACATCAATCATCAAAGAAATGCCAATTAAAACCACAATGAGATATCACCTCACATCTGTCCAAATGGACTTGTCCAAATGGCTATCGTCAATAAATCAACAACAAGTGCTGGTGAGGATGTGGAAAAAAGGGAATTCTCAGCACTGTTGTTGGGAATGCAAGATTGGTGCAGCCACTGTGGAAAACAGTATGGAGTTTCCTCCAAAAATTAAAAATGGAACTGCCGTTTGACCCAACAATCACACTCCTGGGAATATATCTGAAGAAACCTAAAACACTAATTCAGAAGAATACATGCATCCCTGTGTTCATTGCCGTGTTATTTCCAATCGCCAAGATTTGGAAGCAGCCCAAGTGCCCATCCGTAGATGAGTGGATAAAAAAGCTGTGATACACTTACATAATGGGATGCTACTCGGCCATAGAAAAAGAAGGAAATGTTACCCTTTGCGACTTCATGGATGGACTTGGAGCACATTATACTAAGTGAAATAAGCCAGTCAGAGAAAGGTAAGTACCATATGATTTCACTCACATGTGGAATCTAATGAACAAAATGAATGTTACCCTTTGCGACTTCATGGATGGACTTGGAGAACATTATACTAAGTGAAATAAGCCAGTCAGAGAAAGGTAAGTACCATATGATTTCACTCACATGTGGAATCTAATGAACAAAATAAACTACCAAAACAGAAACAGACTCATGGATAGAAAACAGACTGACAGCTGTCAGAGGGGAGTGGGGTTGGGGAGCTACGTGAAAAGGGGGAGGGATTAAGCAAAGAAAAAAACTCATAGGCACAGACAATAGTATGGTGAGTGCCAGAGGGCAAGCGGTTTGGGAAAGGAAACAGCGTAAAGGTTGATGGAAGAAGACTTGAGTTGGTGTGGTGAATACACAATACAATATACAGATGATGAATTGTACACCTGAAGCCTATATAATTTTATTAACCAATGTCAACCCATTAAATTCAATAAAAAATTTTTTTTAACTAGAAGGCAGGCCACCCCACA